GGGGGGGTGGCCAACGCTGCACCATATATACTATATATGGTATATATACTATATATATACACCATATATACTATATATGGTATATATACTATATATATATATACTACATATACTATATATACTACATATACTATAAATACTATATACACTACATATACTATAAATACTATAGATACTAAATACTATATATACTATATGTACTATATATACTATATATACTATATGTACTATATATACTATATATACTATATATACTATATATATATACTTTAAACATACTATACATATATACTATATATACTATATATATATGATATATAGTATATATATATACTATATATACACACTATATATATAGTATATATATACTATATATATACTATATATATACTATATATACTATATATATACTATATATACTATATATATATACACTATATATATATATACTATATATAGACTATATATATATACTATATATATACACTAGATATATATACACTATATATACACTATCTCTCTCTCTCTATATATATACATACGTATACACTACTATATAAGTATATATATATTACTATGCACATAGATATTACACTATACTACATATATATATATAGATATATTATTATAAAATATTATACTATATATATATATATGATGGAATACTATTTGTACATTACTGCAAGTCAGAATTGCCAAGATCTAAAGATACTGTTTTGCCAGTAGACAGAGGATCTCTAGCACTCATGGAGATTATCCAGAGACACACCAAGGGCACCAGTCCCAAGACCTTGTGGCCAGGTGTGAATGTGAAGCAAATGAAAGATCCAGGGACCACTGGCAACTTCGAAGTCACCTTGGACGGCAGGTTGATCCACTCCAAGAAGACTCAAGGAGGGGATCACCTCTGGAGTTGTATTTTTTTGGTACTAACCATTTTTTTTTGGGGTTGATTCAGTCACTGTCATTTTGATACATCAGAACCACAGGTTCTGAGAGTTCATGGATAAATTCGATAAAAAACTCTCCTCTTCAAATGGAATTGGGTTCAGTTGACCATTGAAGGACAAGGCTTTTTGGAGAAAGCGTCCAAAGAGCGGCAAGAAGACGCTTGGCCAGTTGAAGTTTCCTCGCTTTTCATGACCCCAGATTGAGACTTAAAGTGCTCTCTGTGACATGGAAGATGCATGCCAACATCGTCGTACGTGTATCGTTGAAAGAGATTTAGGGATGGGTCAGTACTTGTTTACTTGCAGGGCTATCTCTAGGGGATGAACGTCGATTGAACAATTTTCAGTTATTTTGGTGTTAATTAACTTTGGACCCATGTCCATTTTTGACTGTAAGTTAAACCGTTTAAACCTGGAATCTTAGCTCTTGACCCGCGACGAATGCAAGGAAGTGAAGGCTGAGATCGCCTCTGCCGTAGGAGCACTCGGCGATACAGCCCAGCCATCCTCTGGAGATTTCAAGGCTGGTGCCCAGACAGGTGGTGGAGGTTGCAACATCTCCTAAGGTCCTAAGGGCCTTTGTGAGTGTCGCAACCTGCAAACAAATAAACATTAAATAACTAATTATGAAACAAACAGTAAATAAACATTGCATAAACTAAATCAGCCACTTGGCTCAGTGAAACAGCACCAACTAATCCAGCTCAAACCCAAAGTCGAGGATGCAACGAACAACATTTGTCTACCACCCGCAATTTTCCAAGTTCTCCCTCCAGCGTGCTTTGTTGCACATGAACAATGAGCTGGGATTTGCTCTACACATTTGTCGGACAAGAAGGGCTTTTTCTCAGCCGAGAAAGAACAAAAGTTCGTTTGTTTGTTGGATGATTTCATGATATATACTACATAGTATATGTAGTCATCCCAAAATCATCCATGTTTTTGAAGTGACAGTAGATTTAGATTTTGGATGAAAAAAATGGTCCAGGTGGTGCAAATCCCATGCTGCCATAGTGGGGTTTTTCCGCGCACAGCGCATGATGTTTCCTCCGAGGGGCCCGACCGAGTGCCCCCTGCGGCTCACTGAGAGCTGGCGGGTCGACTCCTGGCCGCGACTGGAGCGGTGAAGCGAAGGAAAAATGTATTTTTTTTGGGGGGGGAAGATGGAACAAACACGAGTTGAAGTGGTAGTTTTGAGATATTTTGAGCAAATTCAGTTCTTTTGATTTTTTCTTGCGGTTTTTGTATTGTTTTGGAAGCACCTTGATGCGGGTGCAGCTTCGGCCATAAGAAGCATTGATGTGGAGTACTTATTCTGCGTTGACATAGCTCAAGCTATCATAGATTTGCTGATGCAGCCGATGCAGGTGCAGAGCGTCCACAACATGGGAGTCTTGGACGAAACAGCACAAACTTCGGTTGGACTGGTCATCATATGGATAGGGAGAAGTCGTAGGGACCTACGACAGCCCAGGGCTCAAAGTTCTGTTTGGGCCACCGTAAAAGAGTTGGGAATCCACTGGGTCCCAAGGGGCCACTTTGATGTTCATCCTACGCATTGTTGTGCTGAGGATATCACTACTCCCAGACCCTAGCCCATTGGCTGAAAAATTGGGAGGCCAGCAAGGACACAATCGTAAAGGCCTGCCCCTGAGACGACTTTGCGGATAGCAAGAACACCACTGGTGCAATTGCCTTTTCAGAATATTGGCAGGGATGGTTGTGAGGGGCCTGATGAAGTTCTCACATTGACTTGGTTCCAGTCACTTCATCAGTCATATCACCCCTAATTTTCATTGGCTGCCTGCACCATCCCCATCCCGCCAGCTCAAATCGGAATTTCAGCATAGTGATTAACGCCCAAGATTTTGCTGGTTTAGTTCCTCTCTTCTTGACATCACATTAAAATACATAAAATTCCCACAATTTGGTGAAGTTCCCTCTGGTATCGACTCACCCAGGCCTATGGCGAACGCTCTTGGAGACGCTGGCGCGTCTTTTTGGCTTGGTCTGTGCGCATCTCCAGAAGGCAACGGCTGGAAAAAAATGGGTCCATGGGGGGGGGAATTCCCGCCCCAGATGTCAGGGTTGGAATTCCCACCATGTTTGCCAAACGCTCATGGATTTTCTTGTAGAACAATTGGTATACACCAGGTCAAAATTCAAGACCCAGGGGACGAGTTTGATGGGTTAGGACTTTAAGTCATCCCATTTTGATCCATTGCTTTTGGATAGGTCTCTGCCAGTGACAGTATTGGGCAATCAAGTTGGTGTGCAGGAAATCTGCAACTGCTGCAGCCATTTCTGCTTGATACAGCCTCTGAGGATATCCACTTGGCGGGATCTTCCGATGCAGATGGCACAGCCGGTGGGTGCAGACTCCTGCAGCCCATTGGCCAAGGCAAATTCCGACGGCGCCAGGGAGTCCGTACATCGTGCGGACCCTGTCCAGCACATCGTAGTTGCTGTGGCCGGTGGTGCGGCCTGCCACGCTGGATATCCGCAGCTCCTGTCAAGCAGCGAAGGCTTAAAGGATCTTAAAGGTCTGCTTCGCTCTGCGCCCAAGGTGGTGGCAGTGAAGGTTCGAGCGCCACAATTGAAGCAAGCCACCCCTCTTATCGACGGATCTGTGAGTGAATTACTCAACAAGCTGGGGGGGGTTCTGCTCCCACATCGATTTGAAATCTGAAGTCTTGGTGTACTTTTTGCATGCACTTGTATTGTTTCAATGACACATGAAGGTTTTTTGAAAAGCACGTGGGATTTTCGTAGCATTGCCAAGGAACCAAGAAAGCATTGTTGTGGTTGATCTCCGCCGGGCGGACAGGGCCGCTGGCACAATTGCAGGTGCCCTTCCGATTCCGGCCTTGGATTTATTAAAGGACATGCACAAGTGGTGCGCCGAATTTAAAGGGAAACCGATGGTTGGTTTCTTTTGCCAACACTCGGTCCATCGGGCGCCCACTGTCGCGAATCTATATAGAAAGAACTGTCATCCTACCCAAAGAGTGGTAATGATAGTGATTGCATGAAGGAGGTTTCAGAAGGTGGGAAGCCCAGAAGCTTCCAGTGCAAGATCAAAGCCCGCAGCTGTGTCAGGCAGCATCATTGCACTGAAAATGGGCAGTGAATTGCCGTCACTGTCAGAGGTGTAGAAAGCAATGCCAATGAGCAATCTTCTACTTCAAAATGCTGGCAGCACCGACGCTTGAGCAAAAAGGAAAAACCATGAAGCTGCCCAGAGATTTCGCACTCCTGCTGGCCACTTCCTTTCTCGAAGAAGGAACGCATAATAATGTGAAATTATGGGGATTGTTTTTCCAGAACCCACTGGATGGAATGCGGTACCTTTTTTTTTGGGGACACTCACATGCTATTGTGCGGTAAACATGACCAATAAGAGCCATCAAGAAGAACCTTTAAGCTTTCTTTTTAAGATAAAAGAGCACACATGGTAGAATGAGGCACATGTATTACTATTGGGTTTACCGCACTAACATCGTAACACAATCTGCATTGTCATGCGGACATGACAAGTAGAGAAGGATCGGTATTAGATGCTATTATTTACCATTATCTGGTATTACAGCTAAAGACATCGGGTATGAAGTAGCACGAACTACCAGCAATGTGGCATATCATCCAGAGTGAAGGAAACATGCGAAGATATTCCTGCCGTCACTTACATCTTGAAACCAATGCTGCAATGAACTCGCCTCAGCTAGACATGGTCTTTGCTCTGCTTGTGTTCAACATCAGCTTGCGGCTACTGTGACGACCCCAATCCACAAAAACCTCACATCCTGCGATAAAAAGTGATCCACAATGATCCACACAATCACTTTTGGTGTGCATATGATGCAATCCTCTTCCCCCAAAAATACTAACCCCTGTAATAAACACTTGGATTATGGTAGATTGATCCGCATTTTATACCACTTTCCCTTAAATCGGCCAGGGGTGGCAGCACTGTGCAGTGGATCACAGCCACCAAGAGTGGCCAGGTCCGGGCACTCTTCGTTTGGGAAGTGATGAATTGAGATTGGATGGGTTAGTAGATTCATTGATCAACTAGAATCACCCCCTGTGAAAAAACGATTTGGCACTTGGTCACCAAGTTCCATCTATACATCATGTATACATCATGTAGATTGTTGATCAATTAAGAGGGTCACCCCCAAAAGTGATGTCAGTTGTCAACCAAAGCGAGGGGCTAAGATGGTGGAGATGGTCTCCTGTTGCCGATACACCTACTATTTGCTGGTCACATCTCAATTTTTCTTACCATTTTCATCCAGTTTCCATCCATTTTTCATCCATTCTTGTTGGTGTACCCAATCTTTGTAGACCAATCTCTGTGCCGATTGGATCCCATGCCGTTCTCAAACTCCGCTGGTTGAATCTACCTGGCTGAGGAGCTATTGATTTACCAGTTATTTTGGGTACCAGCCTGTTGATCTATACCCAAATCCCAGTTTTCTGTTGCTGAAAGCATCGTTTTTGCGGTTATTTTTTTTTTTCCACTGGCTTGCCACTTCTCCTGTTTTTTTGTGATTTCGAGCCATCTTAAAGTTCCTACTACACGAGATCATAGCCGTCCAGTCCATTTGGGGGTTTCCGAAAATTGGGGCCTCATTTCACTATCGGTCTCACAGGGTTTAGAACTACTTGCATCCCTTATTGGAAATGAAAACCACGTATGTGGTCCCTTCACCTGTCATTTTGGCTGGCTTGTTTTGTTAATGATAGGGCCTTTCCTAGAATGGTGGTAGCCCCAAATATATAATCCAAGTCATTAGAGCATTTTAGAAACTTGAAACCCATGGTGGCTTGGGGACTCCCCAGATGAACCATATGGGGGTTTCCATAAATAGGGGTACCCCTAAATTCATCAATTTTGAGTCATTTTAATAGGGTTTTCCATTATAAAACATCCATCCATTTTGGGGTACCGCCATACTTGGTTTTTTCGATCCCTCCCAGGAGTCTGCGCGCATTGCGGCGCAAAACCGCCTGGCGCCAGGGATCTTTCAACTGCCTGAGCCGAAGTGTCTTGGTCGCTTGGGAGTTGGTGGCGGTGAAGAGGAGAACTGGGGGATACAAAAATTGATGGTGATAAAGAATGATACTTAGAATATAGGATAATATGTAGGGATTCTTATATATTCCATCTCGAATCTTAGCGGAATAAATCCAGAGTGATTATTTCGTCATTAAAGTGGTCGAACCAAGGATTCATCAGCAAGGTCCACCAGTAAACCCCAATGACTTGACCGATAGGTGTTATGGCCATAGCCATTCCACGTGAATTGTCCCAATCATCTCCCCATGATTCCCCCAGAACATTGTTTCCCCATTATTTTCCTAGATACATTCATATGTATATGTATATGTATGTATGTGTGTATATATAAATATAATTATATATATATATAATATATATATATATATATCATATGTACATAAATATACATTATTGTTAGTTAAAAAGGTAATGACCGACCGTGAAAAACTGGTTGGTCAACCCCGACCACCCACTTTGACACCTGTTTTTTTTGGTTTTCCATTCCTCCATCGAAATCTTTGAGGCCTCTTCCAACCCAATGAGTTGGTCAAATACCTCTGACTTGGACCAAAGCGACACCCAAGCTGGTGGTTGGAGCTGGGCGCAAACCCACCAGAAATTCATGAGGAATATGCACAGTAGAGGATTTCATGAGGATGCAATCTGAAAAAACATATGCTTTCAAACTTTCAAAGTTTTCTTGGACTTTTCAATCCACCAAAACTTGGACTTTCCATCAACCAAAAGGTGGGAGGATTCTTTCAAATGTCTGGACGAAACAACCAGCTAATGCTTTGCTTCAGGTAAAAGGTACAGTAGGCGCGAAACCTTGATAAAGCTCAACCATTGTGATATTATATTCAGATCAGTTTTCGCCTCCGTCTCACCATTGTTTTAAATGTGGTAAACCCAACAATGAACCACCCCCATCCACCCCCAATCTTGCTAGACATGGTAGCAACATCCCCGAAGGTTTCTGGCATTGGGCTTGCACCGACTTGCAGAAGCCTGTCTTTGCCGAAAGGGTCTGTAGCCATCAGCATAAGCTCCAGCAATAATATCCTACCATAGTGAGGCATCATGGAACCAGTTTTGTGGCTTTGAACGCTTCTCTCGTACGAAAACATGCGAATCATGTTTTCCCTCGGTCGAGCATCATGCAAGTGAACACACCAATGGGAAAGTCTTAGGCCAAAAGCCATAAGCTAATGCAGCTGCCATGGAATTCGATTTTCTTACCAGCAACCACTAGCTTTCAAGATTGTCGTCAACACACGCTGAAACGTTTTGCAGCACAGCTCACAGCTGGTTCCACACGACGAATGCCCACTGCAGAAGGGAGCATCGTTTGATGCCATGCGTTGGCGCGTTGGCATTGGTGAAAGCTAACCAACAAAGCTTGAAGATTGAACAACAGAGGTGATCTGAAGGTCTCTGTGTGGATATCATGATATCACTGGGTGGATTTACAGGAAATCTCAACTGTGGGATGATATCAAATTCAGCCGCAGTTTGACCTTTGAATGGAAAGAGAAAATGTGATGATAATACCTGGTTAGCTGAAGAGACGCCAGTCTGACGGCAGTTGAAGCGACAAGTTGAACGCCGCCTATGCGTTTGCGAAGAACTGTGAGGTCTGCAGGCCGAGGAAACTGTGACCATATGACCATAGGTGGGAAAAGGATGGGGGTTTAATTGTACAATCATTGAAACCAGGGATGCTGGTCACCAAGATGGAATGTATAATTATGTAACCAGTAGCGGCGGCCACGGTTGGCATACACATGATGTTTTATTTGGTTCTGGGCAGGATTAATTGCGACAAATCGGTTTGAGAATCCCGCGACCAACCAGTGTTCAAGCCCGCGAGATCTCTGACACATGTGGATGTGTTAGGATAGATCCTTTGACATTTTTCAACACATCTTCGCCGAGTACTGATGCCAGGAACAAAATTCTCTGTGGGGGTAAAGCCCACCAAGTAAGCATGATATTTTATGATGAGGTACCTGTATCTGTAAATCCCTGCAGCACTTGTTCTTCATACAACGCAACACAAAGCAGCTGCTTCGTCCGAGAGCGCGTTCAGCAGCGTTCTTTTCAAGGTGTTTCCGGAGGAAAATTGGCGCCAGTGTTTGCCTTGCGGCGTCGACAGCACTGAGGATGTCAAATGGACTAGGTGCAGCTTGACCATCTTGAGAGATGTTGAGAGTACATCTTGGTGCAGCTGCTGTGCTCAAAAATATCCACAGCAATACTGCAGATTCAGGAATGCATCTTGGAGGAAGCAACATGATGACTATAATATATTATAGTCACCAGAAGCACCTACTACCACTAGACGTAATCCATTGAATATTCATTTCAGATGCTTTCAGGAGGTTTCTTTTAGGACCCGAAGATTTTTGGATCTCACCGTGCGCTGGTGGCAGTAAAGGGGCCATGGCTCTGGCCACAAATTCCGGGAGGCAGCAGGATTTTGGGTGAAGAAATGCACATGTGACACATTGTTTGTATGACACTCTATGATTCTGGGCACAGGTTATGTTATATATTATATGCATTTGTATATATATATATATGTATATGATACTGTATATGCTTATATAGAAATATATATGTAGAGATATATAATATGTATATATGTATATATTATTATATATAATATATATAATATAATACACACAGATATATATATATATGTAGAGATATATAATATGTATATATATATATATAATATTATATATATAGTCTAATATTATATATATACAATACTATATATATAGAATACTATTATATATATATAGTATAATATAATACATATATATAATATATAATGCATATATAATACATATACACATATATATATATATAATAATAATAGAATATATATAATATATAATATAATATAGTATATAATATAATATATAATATAATATATAATATATAATATAATATAATATATAATTAAAAATGTACTATAATATATAATATAATATATAATATAATATATAATATAATATATAATATAATATATAATATAATATATGATATAATATATAATATAATATAATATATAATATAATATATAATATAATATATAATATAATATATAATATAATATAATATATAATATAATATAATATATCATATAATATATAGTATATAATATAATATTTAATATATAATATATAATATATAATATATAATATAATATATAATATATAATATGATATATAATATAAGATATAATTTAATATATAATATAATATATAACATAATATAATATAATATATAATATAATATAATATATAATAATATATATATAAAATGTGTATATATATATATACACATTATATATATAAGATATTATATAAGTATATCCCATCAGCCGGCCTGCTCCCCATCGTTGGGATAAATTTTCTGCAACTAACGGCGACAGTTTTTCTCCCAAAACAAATTGGTTTATACAATTCCCCTTCCATAATGGTTATTCCGAAAGCATCATCCATTTATTCCCCAAAAATTATTGACGTTGTAACGAACCGTTCTGGTAGGTATTCTACCGCCATTCAACTGGGCTGGGATTTGATTTTCTCCCCAGGGGGCCGCTTTGCGGCTAAAGCAGCACCATGTGCCGTCGCATGACCTTACGCACTGCCGGACGAGTTGCTGCTCAGGCAGGTGCTGCACCCTTCGGTAGTCTAACATGGCTGGGAAATCCCCGAAGTAAGCGGAGGTTTTAGGTGGGAAAAGGTCATTTTCCATGTTAAACTACCAGTTCTTTCCTTTTGTCGCGTGTTTGAAATTTGCTTTTTTAGTCTTCAGAATGTGGCTCAGAGAGACAGTTGATACAGTTCTATTTTCGATGAAGGTCAGGTCAGGTCACTCTTGCGGGAGTGTCAAAGCAAATTTTCACAAATTTCTCTTTGGACGCGTGCCGTTGTCAAACAAAGGTTGTTAAGTAAGAGATTGGGAAAGCACCAGTACCCGCTACCCATCGGTTAGAGATTTTTCATACACATGCATATATCTATCTACATGTACGTGTATACATTACTACAATTAACACATTCATTATATAACTATATAATACGTGAATACTTCAATACATTATGAATACATTCATACATATCCAAATAATGTTTTAGATATATAAATGCATTGTGTTTGTAGCACAATGCATCCAGGAATCAGCACAGTCCTTGCCGCTCGGCATCGTGGGGTGACCCTGGTGGATGGTTCATTTAATATGGTTCGAAGCATGATTTATAAGTAGCGGGGTTTTAAGCAGCAAAACAGGGGATATGATATAATATGATATAATTATATATATATATATACATACATATTTCCATGGAGAAATGATGGTTATGAACTGACCTGGTGATGTTGACGATCAAATCACCCAGAATGGGAATGCTGTTCTCAACCAGTCTTGGAAGGGTTGAGTTTGCGGGGTTTTGGACTCTGCTCAAATGAACCATACACCAAAATTGATAGATGACGGTGAGAACCTATCAATCTAAGAATGTTGGGTGCAAGAAATAGGTGCTTTACTTTTGCCATTCGGCCATTCCTATCAATCCAAAGCCCACTGGGCCCACTTCTCAATGCTCCTCAACACACACACACATATATATATATAAATCATATGGGTGCAATTCGCGGTCCTATTTTGGATCCACTCAATTTCAGCAATTAGCTGGTCTTGACGGCCTTGATATTCAACCGCCAAATGGTTTTGCTTCAAGTTCCGAGACCCACTGAAGAGTTGGTTCCCAAAGGACTCGGCAGTTCTCAGTGGCTGCTTCTGCACGCGCGTTCCTGCTGGAGATGCAACAAGCACGGGTGGCATGCAATGTGCTTCTCGCCAAGAAGAGCGGTTAGCCAGCGTGGTGTCCCTCACAAAAAACTGGGTATGTGTCAAAAAAAAACAAGCACCCCTAAATTTGGGAAGCGAAGATGATCCCCAAATGGTCTAAGTCATTCTAAGTCTTCTGTTCGTGATCCAAAGTTTGGATGGTGGTAAAGACCCATTTGGGCCGACTGGGCGGTTGAAGGGAAGATTGGGGCTAAAAACAACTAAGAATCATTTGGGACTGGGTCAAAATGATCAAACCCATATAGTAGATGGTTTCAAACGAATTTAGAGGGTGCACTGGTGGCATTGGTACGCGAATGTCTTGACCCATAGCCATTTCCAGCAGTTGAAAGCGGAGTGTGGGTTTCACCACTAAGGCTACACTACAACGCCAGCATCATCGTCGTGCCCTTGGGTGTGGCTTTGAGGTTTGAGATTGCCACTTTTCATGGCCAACTTGATGCACCTATTCGATCACCAGCTTGTTTTTTCTGATTTTCTTGCTGCACATGCAGACCAGACTCTTCAATTTGCTGCCACATCGCCCAACCTTCAATCTCTGGAATTCCACTTGGTGCCTTTGGGACCAAATAGGGGGTAAGCTGCAGAAAGTGCCCCTGCAGGCATGCCACAGGAGCAGTGAGTGGGAGAATGCCTTAGACTTCTTTGTAGAGATGCAACAGAGAAATCTTCAGCAGGAGCCCAAAAAAGATCACCTGATGGTTGTGTCACCTGATGTGAAGTTCTCTCCTCCAGGACCAAGCACTTTCTTGGCGGGCGCTCTGCCTCTTCTCGAACATGTGTAGGAACCTTGGAGCTTTATTTAAGGTGACCAGGCCCAATAATCTGAAGTTGAAAGATTTTCTTGCTTCAGGTGGATTTCAGGGGTCTTCAAATTGTGGGACTGTGCCCATGTTTGAAGCCCAGGAGAAGAATTCAAGCCGACAGCACCTGCAGCTCTGCCGTCCGAGCATGTGACCTAGGCCCAACAAGTGGCCAGGTCACTAAGACTTGGAGAATGCACGGAACGTGGTAGCCTTTTTTTGTCGTCATGTCTGGCACCAGCTTGCACACACTGCTTGCTCAGATGTTGGATCAATGGACTACCCATTTCTGATATTTCTGGCCTGGCTGCTGGTTTTGCTTCTACAAAGATGCCGAAGCGTCTAAGACTACGATTTGTTCCTTGAGAAAGTGAACCCTTGGGCCGAACGCAACTCCTCAGATTCACAATCCTTTCAGCTGAGTCCATGGCATGTCGTGTGGCGGTTTGGGGTGTAATTTCCCATTCTTCGGCAGGCAGCAAGTGGACATCAGCATTGAAATTCCTGCAGCACATGATGGACGTGCCTTGACTCGGAGCACGCTGCATTGGCATCTTTTTTGTGTCAACAGCGAAGAACAGACACGGGGGTTCAAACATGAGGTATTCATGAGGAATATTGGACGGGTCATTACAGGTTCATTTTTTGGGGGTGAGCATCCATTTCGGTGTGAACAGAAGGGTGCTATACAATTAATTGGGTGGTTTCAATTTCTGGGAGGCTACCTGTGCCTCCAGGGTGTGACTTCCACAGAAGGCTCCGATAGATCTGCATGGCAGACGCGTTGACAGTTTTCGTCCATGAATCTCTCGCAAAACAACCTGACAGTACCCGTTGAATAATGCGTTTATGTACCAATATATGTATTATGAATTACAGACATATCTAGTATCCGCACGTGTATATATATATATAATACATACATGCGTATATGACCATATATATATATATACATAATCATGCATATATATATATATATTTATACATATAGAGTATATATATATTTATACATATAAAGTATATATATATACATGGGTATAATATACACGTACACATATGTATGTAGACATAATGTGTGTTGAATTATCCACAACACCCCAGGACGAGTCCTCGCGCTCGCGAGGCAGCTGTTGGCAGGAGACCCGTCGTCGGATGCTGCTGGTTGATGTGTTTTTTTTGGTTGGTTTATACTGTAACGGCCAAGTGGCAAAACACACGGCAAAACAACATCAAGCAAAAACAACATCACCAATGCTGATGGTTTTTGATGTTGATGTTGGAACGTTGGTTGGTGGAAAATGGAAGTTTGCACTCGCCAGAAATCGGAGATGGATGACTTCACCGAGCAACTGAAGGAGGCTGTGAACCGCAGTGCTCCTGTGGAAGACAGCGATTTTGGTGCAAGGGAAACAGCTTAAGGGAACTTGGAGGCATTAGATTCGATGAAACCACCATCACTCTTTGGTGGTTTCAAATATTATGCATGTTCAACAGGGTTCAACATGCTTCAACATTGGTTCAACCATATTTGGGATGGTGGTGTCTAATGATCACTATTGTTGAGGGGGGTTGAAACCAGCAACCACAGCTCTGCAGAGGTGGAGTTGCTGCAGCGCGTAGTTCGATATCTTGGTGCTGTGGCGGCATCCCCACAGGGGCACCATTCTCCTTTGGTGATGTGACATAGCGACATGGAAAATTCAGCGATTTACTTACCTATTTAAAAACCGTGACTTTTCCACAGCTATGTTAAATTGCCAGAGAGTGCATACTGAAGTAAGCTTTATTTACACACCAGTACTGACTTGCGAAACAAATGCGTGTGAGTTTGTGGTATGACCAGCGTCCCTATTAAGAAAACACTTGGACGACGACTTCATTTGGCAGCAACCATCAGTTTGACCAGAGGATTCCCATCATTTTCATCTTCGAAAACGTGGGATACCCCAGAATATCCGGTTGGATGAGAAAATGAGGATCAACCACGGGATTTTTTTGAATTCTATGGGGATTCCTGAAATTTTGAGATGCCAAACCCAGGAGCACAGCAAGCGATGACCGCTAAGGCTACTTGCCGGCACCTTTACCTGGACCGGCCCCGAAGACCGGAGTTGGCGTGTTGACGGAGCCGGAAAAACGGCTTTTCCAAGGTGTCAGATTTCGGGGATCTGAAACCGTCCAAAATTTTGGGTTCATCATTTTTGGTGCATATGCAGATGTGTATTAAGTACATTTAAGTACTGAAGTACTGTAGCTATAATCCACCACAATCCCTGGATCACAAAAAACCCTGGTGAAGTCACATGGGGATGGATCACCACACCATATTGGGAGATATTTTGGGAGTAACATCCAGTTGCCAACCATCCCTGTTCACTATTTTGGATGATTTTGCTGTGAACAACCTCTGGCAAGTTTTTCCCATTTTGACCACACGTTCGCACCGATTTCGGCCCAAGATTTAGCTGCGGAAGTAGCGGTTCCGCTGCGCAGAACCCACGGGCGCGTGTTCAAAGTACAATGGCTGGTGGCCCCAGTGGTTGCAGCACCAAAACAATGTAACCATTGATGTTCTTTGACAATTTGTCACATAAATCATGATGAATCATGATTGGTTGATGAATTGACTGAGAAACTAAATCATGATTGGTCGATGAATTGGCTAAGAAACCACTGAATGAGAGGTCGTTTTAAAGTATACCCAGAAATAGCCAGGCAGTGCGCCTGAGCCGCCGCTTGCTGAGCGCCACCCTGCCGGCGATCAAGGACCGGGACGGGAACTGGTAGAACCAACAGGTTGATCCAAGGCCAAGAATATACTTGGAACAGTTTAGGATCCAGGGGATTTAAACAGTATGGGTCTCCGGTCACCAAATGAGTTTCATACTTGCGACTTCGTTTCATCTAGAGTGGTGAAACTGGATCGCTTGATGATTTTGGCGCTCCTTGGTTTTTGCAAGCATGAATGTTGGGGACTTTGTTGCAGGTTTCATACGATACCTGCTATTAGTCCACAGGATTTTGCGGAGTATGAGGCCATCAAAACCTCAAAGGCTCAAATGATGGCAGGGGTGCCCACTGGATTGAGAAGGAGATCTTTCTTTGGGAAGCAATCTGAATTTGACCAAAAGGAATCTACGTTCAGCCAGAGGCACCAATGAGTTTTGGGCACCCATATTTTAAATGAAAACTCAAACCTCAACTGAAATAGTGCATGGATGTTCTCTCCAACAGATTGAGGGTGTTGTTTGTCAGCTGCCTTGCTGGGCAAGTGTTTGCCAGACTGTAAGCCTAGCCCTTCCCAGTAGTGATACACAGTTGAGTGCACTATCTTGGTTCACACGGTGCACACTGCCCATTTTGAGTGACTTCAAAGTCAACGAGACCAAACTCTTGGATACAGATCAGCTTTTGTGTCCCGGCTACAGCAAGGTCGGCTATTTCACAGGCCATTGGAGCACAGCCAGCAAAATGTACAAGGAGCAGTTTGAGGCGCGGATATCAAGATTGATAGCCTCCGCCAGCCCCAATGACCCAGAAATGGATAGAGATGGTTTGTATATGTTCGTATAAACTCTATCTCCGCTTGGAGGTTTCAATTTTGGGTTGACCCAAGGTTTACCGCGCGAAGTCACCCCCTAATCTTCTGTGGTCCTTCCTCTCCGCTGCCGTTCCAAACAATGATATATTAAAAATTATTAAGATATAACTTGCACATGGGTTTTCCAAAAATTAGATACGACGAGATATACCCCGAATCAAGTGACTTATCATCATATTCCCGATTACAGTATACAGTTATATACAGTTGTATTTTTTGGATTCGTGTTTTTTTCCCCTTCTCCATTTTCAGACAGACCAATGAAACCGCCATTGCCCAAGTCAAGGCGATGGCCAAGTCATACCCCAAGTATTCCTTCTATACCTGTGACATCGACGATGCACCGTTGGCAGCGTATGATGCAGAGGTCGGGACCACGACCAGTCGGTGTGTCTTGAAAAGGGTGGATACCCCCCAATATTCAATATTCATGGCACTTGTTGTGCCGAAAATGCTCATTAACCATGGGATCTTTTTTTTTGCTTTTCCCTTAACAATATTTTCAGACGAACCCCAAGCACAATTTTCAAATGAACCCAAATATATAATGTATATATATATATATACATAGATACATACATATTACACATATACATACATGTATAATCTCAATTATATTTCATACAAGTTACTATCATATGATATCTTCATATATCTTCCATGATATCTCCCCATTGAATTACCACGATATCTCCACACTTTCGACCGTGTCTTTGGAGGTGACGGAGGTGCCCAGTGTGGTGATCCAACCCTTAGGGCTGAAGCCTGATGGCCTGGGCCTTGGACGGAACCAACAAACTGATGGAGGTTGATGGATGATGGGTGTTGATCAACAGGTTACCCTCTGGTAAACTAACATAGCTATGGAAAATCACTATTTTTAATGGGAAAATCCATTATAAATGGCAATTTTCAATAGCTATGTTAAATTACCAGAGGGTACCATCAATT